TACGAGGTAACAAATGCCAAGTACATAACACGGTGTCTAACCCAGAGTAGGACACTCAACAAGCCTTGTTTCTTTTCTCTGTGATCCCACAGTCAACATGTAATTTTTAAAAATCCATAAAATCCTACCTGCTTACAGAGATGCCTTCAAACCTCGGTGCAACCTTAATCACTGAAATCTCTATTAAAGAAGAAAGTAAAATAGAGTTTATACGGCAATAGAAAAATACAGAATATTAAAAGTATGAGATCAATGTTTTGTTAAAAAGCATTCCATTGGGACCACACCTGGAGACTACACACTTGAGTGAATACTGTATATACTCCTGGTAAGTAATTAATGCATAAAAACCACTTCCCCTCCTTTATATTTATCAAAAAAAGAGGGTGTTTATCCAAATTTGATATTTTAAAGTGAACTGCTGTTTACAAGGACCAAAATCCCAACCAAACTTTATGAGACTCACAAAAGAATGATAATCGTCAGTAGAATCAGTATCATAAACTGACAATGCCAAGCTTACATAGCATGGTATTTCTGGACGATACCCATGGGACAAATCCACCCTGCCATTCGGCTTTGTCGGCCTCGTGTTATCTGGGCACGGTCATCCCTATTCGCTCACATACGGTCTAGGACTGCTTTCACACTGCAATGGCAGACATGAGTGGATGTGACAGACATCACATGGTCTAAAATATTGCCTCTCTGGCCCTTTACAGAAAAAGCTTGTGCATCCCTGCTTTCTGTCATAACAGGAAACCCTAAGACTCAAATTGACTCTTCTTACTCTTCTGCTCAACATTCTTCAGTGGATCCATGCAGCTGCCATTGCTGGTTCCCAACTCGACAACCTTTTCTTCTTCGTTGTCCTTGCTGGACAATCGCAACTTTTCTTGGATATTTTCTGCCCCAGTATCCTTTTCTTCTTCGCTGTCCTTGCTGGACAATTGCAACTTTTCTTGGATGTTTTCTGCCCCAGTATGCGAAGAAGGTAAGCTCTCCTTAGCTGCAAAAAGAGAAATGATTGTTTTACGGTCATCACAGTAACTGCACTTCCTTTCCCAGTGGCTGCTTTAGGAATGAGCTTGTGATGTAGCCCAGCCAATAAGATGCTAGGGGAACTCTACCGGAAGCGTCTCTGTTTCCTTCCTAGTTAACAGAAAACATGCAGAGAAAAGCAGCCCCCCTCGCCTGTGGATACCGTCATGTGAGAAGATGATGCTTGGAGCTGCTGCTAATCAGCAGACCAGGAAAGGCGACATCAAACACCAGCAGCCTCACAGCTGAAGGAGGGACAGCATCTGGGATCCTGATGACATCACCGAACCTTCTAAACAATCCTGACTCCTGTTGCTCTAGCCACTGTTACTTAGGGCTCCTATTGTTATTTGCAGCTAAAAGCATTCTGACAAATCTCCCAAGGTCTACAGCAGACCTCCTCCTTTCTATAGTACCCGAAAGGCTTTCAGAAGCGTGCCTGAGCTAGGTAGTCACCTCGTTCCCAACCATTCCTACAGCATCCTTTCTGCACCAACAAAATGAAACTCATAGATCCTGCAAAGTTCACTGGCACATCTTAGCCTCTGCACCACTGTCCTTTCTGCCAAAGGTCATCTTCAAAGATGTTCCACCCACCAAACACTGCTCTTCTGCCTCCTTCCCTGGTAAACTTCTACTTGCTCTGCATGGCTTACCTGACATCCTACCCACTTTTAAAAAAACTTCTTTCCTCACCATGGACTTTAAAGTATTTGGTACATATTAAATACCAATAAAAAATACATAAAGACAGTTACAAAGTCCTAGTGGGCTCTGGGACACAGTTAGCACAGAATAAAGTAAAACAAATCATAGAAATCAGGATGACAGTAACAAGCTCCCGGAGGCCAGGAACTGTGCTTGAGACCTGTTTGCATTCTGTAACGTCAGAGTGGTGCTCAGTACCTAAACGACACTTGAGAGTCATCTGTTAGGTGGATGAATTAACAGATAAGAATGTTTTCTGCGAAAATCCTGTTTAAAAAAATACAGACGTTAACCAGGGACAACTCTGTTGTGTTATGAGCACCTTGAAGACCAAAACTCTGTCTTTTCCATCTTTGTATTTCCTACAAAAGAAGTTCTTTGCTTGATTCAGGTCTACCAAGTTAAAGGTGCCCTCATACACTTCAGACCGAACAGCACGTGAGGGGTCACATCTAGGCAACACAGTCGTCTTCTTTTTTTTTTTTTTTTATGTGAAGCACTCCTGTGCTTTCTTTACAATTTGTTGAGTCCTGAGTTGTGCTATATGAGTATTTACTATGACAATCCTTTAACTAATGGCAATACAAAATCTTATTCTAACAAAATAGTTTCATAACAAGTATCCCCAAAACAGAAGAAAACATCTGACTCTCATGAAGGCAACATATCTCATTCTGTTTGCACTTCTGAGGAATGAAATTGGTGAGAG